AAAAAGAAATATGCAATAAATCAGGAGATTGTGCAAACAGTAAAACTTTGTCACTGGCCTGGGAAAAAGCAAAAACTCAATTTTGCCACGACAGCGGTCCCCCTCGGAAGACTACAATCAAGATTCCTTCAAAGAGCAAGCGTCGTACTTCCAGAATCATCGCCCAAAAAGCTTTTCGAGATCCCAACCCCTGCAGCGAAAGAATGTCTTTGGTGGCTAAATCACCTAAACTCAAAAGCCCAGGTGGAAAACCACCTAATCCAGAGAACTTGAAAACCTTATCAAACACAATGGCACATAAACAGGAAGGAACTGTACGCCGTCTTTGCAACTATAAAGTTGCTCAAAAACAAAATGAAATGCAAAGCAGTACTCCTTCAAACGAACAACCGAACGGTCATAGCCTACATTCAAAACCAGGGCAGAACGAAGCCACTCCCTCTGCTAGAGCTAGCTTCTCGTCTTTTAAAACTAACCAACAAAATGAAAATTTACTTGACAGCTCATTATATCCCAAGCAATTACAACAATGTAGCGGACAACTTGTCACGCCAAAAAGTCCTTCCCGATTGTCATTTGTCCAATCACATAACCAAAATGATCTTTCAAAAATGGGGAATACCAGTTGTGGACCTTTTTGCAACGAACAGATCAAAAGTAGTACCCACTTACGTGTCTCGGGATGCCAAAGATCACTCAGCCCTCTTCACTGATGCATTCAGTCGAAAATAGTGTTTTCAACTGGCGTGGGCATTTCCTCCCCCAAGTCTGATTCCACGAGTTCTTCATCACCTGAACCAAGCGAAAGGAATCTACATTATAACAGCACCAAAATGGGAACGCGTTTTTTGGCGGGCTGATCTGAAGGCTCGAGCGCTAGCACCTCCAATACAAATTCGGAACTTGAATCAACACTTAACGGACATGTCAACATCCATGCCACTGAAACAGGCCCACCAGCTAAATTTGGAGGCCTGGAAAATACAGGGTGGTCAAATATCATAACTCATTGGGACAGAGAAGACGCCAAATTGCTGGAAAGTTCCTGGAGAGAATCGTCTCTGAAAACCTATTCAGCTCCTTGGAAACAATGGCTAGTCTGGTCTTCAAAGGAAAATGTCAGTCCTAACGATCCCTCTCCAAATCAAGTGGCTCAATATTTATTATATTTACACAGGAAAAAGAAATTGGCACCTACAACCATCAAACTTCATAAATCTGTTATCGCTACTTTTTCAAATCCCTTAAAAAGTGAGAATATTACTAACGACCCTACAGTTAAACATATGTATATTAAAAGCAATCGAAGCCTCTAAGCCTCAAACAGGTCGAAAAGATATTTGGGACATAAACAAACTTATTGATTGGATGATAAAGGAAGACATCGATGAACAAAGTGCATTTCAAGTATCACGCCGAACATCCATTATTCTCCTGCTAGCCTCAGGGCGAAGAGTACATGATTTAACGCTTTTAAAAATCGACAAAAACTCTATTGAAATCAGCGAAAACTCAATTATACTTTGGCCCGAGTGGGGCTCCAAAACCGATAAAAGTAATTACCGACAATCAGGATGACAACAAAAAATCCTAATAAAGCTTTAGATCCAGTATTTTGGATCCAAAAACTGATCCATATCACTCAAAAAAGACAAACAGCAAGAGAAAATTTATTAAATCTATTTATAACGGTTAGAGGAAAAGTATCGCAAGCGTCCCGAAGTACCATAGGGGGATGGATTAAAACTGCTTTTAAAGAAGCAGATCTACCATTCTCCCCGGGGAGTATCAGATCAGCAGTAGCGTCGGCAAGATGGAATAACAATACTCCCCTAGATGATATTCTAAAAAACGGCAACTGGCAAGGCAAACAAAACTTTTTTAAGTTTTACTACAAAGAAGTGGAAAATTCTATCCAAAATTCCGAAGAAGATGGACTAACAAACAAAACCTTTACAGCTCTGGTTTAAAATAACTAACTAACTAAATAACTAAATAAGCCAAAACATTCTTATAGTTATAAAAGTTTAATTTCTGTTTAAAAACTTGCTCTAAAGAATGTCTTTTGCACTGATTACGAAACTCGGTAAAATATTGTTACATACCATTGTTTATTTATTTTATGTTAATTCTCTCTCTCACAATACGCTATCACGTCGTCAGAAACCAAACACTTCTTATTAAGGGTCAAGCGAAGGCACAGAACTGAAATAAACTATGTTTTTCCCCAGAATGGAAAAAAACAGTTATTTCAGATCTTGCCGTAGCTTGACCCAGGTAAGTTCTTGACGACTTACATGAAGGTACTGACCAAAGCTTGCATCTCTGTCTCCCTGCTCTGCGCAGCGCGCGGGGTTGCCGATGCGGGCGCTGAAGACGTGAAATCGGGGAAAGAATGTTAAATTTAGGGAATAAAACGATGTTTTACCATACGAAAGGGTAGTGTAATCTCATTAAGGGTCAAGCTACGGCAAGATCTGAAATAACTGTTTTTTTTTTCATTCTGGGGAAAAACAGTGTTTATTTCATCGGTTTTTGTTTTAATGTTTTGTATTCAAAGTGGAGCGGAGAATTTTCGACCAAACTCGTGGAAAAGGTTCTTCGGGACGATAATTTCGTATCGCAAACGGGCTGGATCCGCCGGAAACTTTTCGAGCAGCGATCTTTTTTGATTTTTTTCGAAAAATTTTCAAACGTTTTGTAGGGCGAAAGAAATTTTCGAAATTGGCCTAAGGAAATACACGAATCGGCCAGAAGCCCGTTTCAATTTTCTTCGGTATATAAAAAATTTTACCAATTAAAATCCCCGAAATCAAATCGATTACAGGGAGATCGAACAAAATATTAGGTAATAATGCGGCATTGCCAAATTTAATTGCGGTGTTGCCAGCTTTTGTAAAACTTTCCCAATCCAAAAATTCTAATTAAGAAAATTCGTTTATCGGGTGGATCTTTAAATTAAAGTTTATTTAATTTTTTTCGCAAATTATAAAGGGGAACCCAACAAAGTATCCAACAACACTTTGACAGGTGTCAAGTAAACAGGTGGCAGAGATCTCAAGTTGACGGATGATAGATGACAGGTGACAGATGACAGATGACAAATGGTATGTGACATGTGACAGATGACAGGTGACAGCTAAAAGGTGACAGATGACAGATAAAAGGTGACATGTGCCAGTTGACAGATGATAGGTTGCAAATGACAGGTGGCAGATGACATAAGACAAATGACAGGTGGCAGGTGAAAGGTGACAGGTGACTGATGACAGGTGACAGATAACAGGTGAAAGATGAAGGGTGTCAGATGACAGGTGACAGATGTCAAGTTGACAGGTAACAGAAGAAATGTGACAAGTGACACACCTGCGGTTGGGCCTACAATAACTCACCAAAGATTCATCACATTTGGATATATGGTATACGAACGCATGAAGGACAAAAAACAATATTTTTATACCAATATATAACATTATTTAACTTGGCGATTATCAATAATTTACTAAACATTATTTTTTTAACGTACATCTATTATTTAACTGAACCTTTACAATATTTACTTAACGTATATCATTTTTACTGGAAGTTATTTAGGTAAAGACTTAAAGAACATTGCTGGTTTTTAAATAACTTGTATTTTACCAAAAATGAATAAAATAAAATATCGTGCAGTGATTAATTATTTTTTTAAGAAGATAACCAACGATGAAATTAACATCGAATTAAACCATGTTTATGGAGACTCTACACTTTTAATATGAACAATCAAATATAAGAAAGCTGAATTTAAGCGCGGTCGTATGAGCATTTCTGATTATGAGCGTCCAGGCAGTTCAAAACACCTGAAATGGTTAATAAAATTGATGGTATTGTTATTGACGATCGACAAGTTAAAGTGTGCAAGATTGCTAAGGCTGTGGGAATTTCACGTTAACAAGTAAAACATTACATTGCATGAATATTTTGGAATAAAAATGCTCGCGGCCAGATAGGTACAGCATTTGCTCTCTGTGTAAAAAAAGCGCGACCGTTGACAACTTCAATGGAATGTTTGCACTATAAACCAAGTCGTCATAAAAGTTGATAAAATTTGGCTCAAATGAGGAAGTCATCGTAAGTAATTTTTCAATATTAAGACGTTGTTTACCCATGGAAGCTCATTTAACTCCCGTCGTCAATATCAATCAGCCTTTCACGGTAAATTCAACTTACCTGCTATAAAATAATGTAACAATAGCCCAATTACCATAGTAATAGCAGATAAAAGTCTTTTACATTCGTTACTATGTACGCAAAATACTTTTTTCTACAACCAAGCGAAAAGTACAAATTTGCGCTTCCAAAAGAAAGCCCAAAGTTGCACTTTTCCGAGGAGATAATACTAAGGTATTATCATATGTTTAATTAATTGATAAAGGACTAGAGCAGTGGGTTTTGTTAGAAAATATTTTCGGATTTTCCTTATCAAATTAACTTGAACTTGGAGATGATATGCCTTGGTATCGGTTCATAACGAAAAGTTATTGAAAACCGACATAATTTAAAAAAATTAACGACTTGGTCAATCAATGATTGGGGTTAGGTTCTTTAACTTAAATTGACTTTAAAGTATTATGAAACACCAACATTTTTAAAGTCAAATTTAACTTTTAAAGTTTGATTAGGAAACTGGCTGTAAAAATCTCAAATAAAAAAAATTAAAGCTAAAATCATTAAGCATTAAAATAATGCTTTTCAAATACTATATTTTGTGCGGATCGGAATCACCGTGGATTTCCATCTTTCGGGCTCCAAAGAATATTCTTATAAAGTTTAAGCAAAATCTAAGATATTGCAGCGGAAATTTTTATTTTTTTTGGTGATTTCATCTGTCATTGGTGACTTATTTATTATTTTACTTTAGATCTATTAATTTACTAAACAAATATAAGATTTACTTAATATTTATCATACTACTTATGAAAACCTATCATGTTTAAAACCAACTAAAAATAACTTACATCATTGTTTTCACTATTTAAAAAATGTTCTGCTACATGAATGGGTAAAATGTTGGCCAAAAGTTTACGGTTATAGGCTTCCAGATGTTCCATGTCCTCCTTTTCTTCTGCAATAAAAAAGGTTGCAACACTTTTATTTTAATTTAAAATTCTATTTATAGATATGTTATATAAATAGTTCTTTAAAATAGCGTATTAACGCAATCCCAATATCAATGGCAATTGGTATATTATTTTTCTAGAGTGGCTTCTATAGTGGCGCTCATTTTATGAATAACTAAAGTTACAGTTAAATACAAATATATACTTTGTATAGAAAATAGTAAAAAAAATATAACCATAAATTTCCCCATAATTGCCATCCTAAAAGTTTCTTTCAGCAAAAATTGTGTGGAAAATCTCTTTTTTTCCAAATCTATCTGCTTTGAAGCGCAGATTACATCTTTCTGGAGTAATTGTGCCTAGACTCTATGGTTTACCCAAGATTCATAAGCCTGGCAAGTCTATAAGGTGAATAGTTTCGGCCATTGTTACACCTACTTATTAATTAGCCAAAATAATTTATGTGGAGAAAGGATGAAGTTTAGGGATGGTGAAGAAAAAGAAGAACAAATAATAAGCGAGAAATTCAACACATATTTCATTGACACCATTAAAGAAATTGTTAACAATATAAAAAAAAGTTAATAATATTGAATATACATTAAACAATGTTGATTTTATAAAAAACATTGATAAATTTAAACCAATCACCATGTCAAAATTAAGAAAAGTTCTTAATGGATATAGAACATATAGTCACCACCTCTATAATTAAAGATGCTTTCGAAGTAATAGGATACAGATTTTTAGAAGTTGTTAACACGTCAATATCAAAAGGAACATTTCCATCAAATTCCTGTACCAAAAGTGCCTAACACTATGTTATGTGAAGAATTTAGACCAGTAAATGTTGTTTCACTTTTTTGACATAATATTGGAAGATGTGGGAAAAGAACAACTGGTTGAATACTGTGAAACTACTGTGATAAATATATGTGATGAATGGCAAAAACATAAAGACAATAATTTGAATATATTGGCGTTTTTCTGGATTTTAGAAGGGCATTTGAAACTATTAATATAAACTTACTATTAAGAAAATTAAATAAAATTGGTTTTTGACGACATTTTCTGATTATGCGTACAATTTTCAATAAGAACTAGCGACTATATCGGGGATACCATGCTATCCCATGTTATGCCATGGTATACCATGATATAAGTGAAAATGCAGCCACTAATAACTGTAGTAATTAGTCATTTTTGACTAATTCTTTTTTAGAGAGTGTCCTTATGTATATTTATATTTATAAGAAATAAAATTATTATTAATATTAATATTATTATTAAAATGCTTTCTCTCGTTTGGTAATATTATCAAATTAATTTAATTTTACTTACCGGTTGCCTGCAGCTTCCAAACAAAATCAAGTCTATAAGTCGCTTCTGTTTGTTGTCCGTGTAAAATCAAGGCAATAACAAAACCCACTAATATTATTACATTTATGTATTGTAGTGTAATCGCAGATTCCCTAAAACAATACAAAATAATTAAGTAAATTCGTTTAAATAATTTGAAAATGATGAATGTTATACTCGTAGGGTGTCCCGGAAAATGTGGGAAATCTCTCGGATTCAGATAGAACATTAAAAAATAAGATGACAAGTTCCCATAAATTTTTTTCCTAGCGGCCCTCCCTACGGAGATACGGCCTCCTAAAGGACGCCACTGGAAATCAGTTTTTCTTGAATAACTTTTAAACTACTTAATATAATTTAATGAAAATTTAATATGATAAACAGTAGTAAGGACCTCTTAAAATACTGCCCTTAAAACATAATTAGCTTGTTTAGTTTACCAGGGGCGGACTAGGTTGTATATTTTAATGCTTACATTTTTAACACCCTGTATGATAGGGAGTTAAAAAAATAAATTTGGATACCTTGAACATTAAGCTAAAGAAAAGGTACTCTTGTTTATTGTCGATAAAATTAACCGCTTTCGAGAAAAAAAATAATAAAGAATTAATGTTTTATTTTTATTAAAAAGACCATGATTTCTAATTTTTTTTCTACAAGCGGAAAAGTGCAACTTTCCGCACGATTATGCGTGTGGAAACAAAAAAAATAAAACTTAAAATGGAAACCGATAAAGAAAATTTCGAGATTCTCTGCTTGTAGACACTTTCCGCACGCTTGTAGAAAAAATATTGTACCTAACACTGTCTGCAACAAAGTGTGATTCGAAAGTAATTGAAATAAAACTCATCATTAGGATTAAAAAACGCACTGTTTTTACAAACGTTACTATGGTACCTACGAAATAATAAATATCTTGCATTGACGTGTGTATTTTAAATCTTGTCATCTTTCATATTGTTAGCACGTTGATCCTTTACTTCGATATTAATTTATTGAATTTTGAATATCTTGGTAAATTTAATTAAATAATGGGATACACATTTAGTGAGTATGCAAATATGCATCTTATGTACGGGCTTGCATCTTGCAATGCTTTGGAAGCAAGAAGGTTGTATGAAGAAAGATATCCTGATGGCAATATTCCAAATCAGAAAACATTTCAGCAACTTGATCAACGTCTAAGAGAGACTGGTGGGCGATTCTCAGTTAATAAGGCAACATTATTGACTTTCTTTAATAATTTTTAGGAAGTTTTGGGAAAACAAGTACTGATGCTGGTGTGAGAAGAACAGTACGTACGGTGCAATTGGAGGAAAATATTTTGGATAGTGTAGCTGATACTCCTTCAATAAGCACTCGAAGATTAGCCTCGCAGCTTCATACGTCAAAAACGATAATTCATAAAGTACTTAAAGAACAGTTGTTCAAACCTTATCATTTGCAAAAAGTGCATCAACAACTTCCTCAAGATTTTCCTCGTAGAATCCAGTTCGCAAACTGGATGTTAGATCAGCAACGGACAAATCCAAACTTCATTAGCTCTATTCTTTTTACCGATGAAGCAGGGTTTACCAAAAATGGTATTGTAAATTTACATAACTCGCATGTATGGGCTGATGAAAACCCTCATGCCACTGGTGTTCATCATTATCAATATCAGTTCCAATCAATTAATGTTTGGGCAGGAATAATTGGCAATTTTTTGATTGGACCATGCGTATTGCCGCCACGATTGAATGGTGAAATTTATTTACAGTTCCTTCAGAATGCTTTTCTGGATTCAATAGAGCATTTGCCAATTGAAACCCGCCAGCGCATGTATTTTATGCATGATGGAGTCCCACCTCATTTTTGCGTTGCTGTACGGGACTATCTGAATAACGTCTATCCAAACCGTTGGATAGGCAGAGGAGGTCCCATTGCCTGGCCTCCACGCTCTCCCGACTTAACGCCAATGGATTTTCACCTGTGGGGACATCTCAAAACCTTGGTGTATTCCTCTCCGGTTGATACTAGGGAGGAACTTTTACAGAGAATCACATTTCATTGGGATGCGATAAGGAACAATGCTGGGTTGTTGTGGCGAGTACAGCAGTCCTCTAATCGTCGTGCCCGCGAGTGTATCAGAGTTCACGGAGCCCATATTGAACCCACTTATGAAGTTTTTAATTGATTATTTCTAATTTAATTTTTCTGTACATTATTTTTTAAGGTTGTTTTTTAAATAATTTCAAGAAAAACATATTTCTAAAAATAATTTTTGTTAAGGTGCCTTTCTGGGACAAGACTGAATTTTTAAGAATCTTGTAATTTTGTCGGATTAAATAACCTAAACTAAAACTTTTCTGTTTCTTAAATGACTTTCGTATCACACTTTGTTGCAGACAAAAAATTAGAAATCATGGTTCTTTTTAATAAAAATAAAACATTAATTCTTTATTATTTTTTTTCTCGAAAACGGTTCATTCTATGGACAATAAACAAGAGTACCTTTTCTTTAGCTTAATGTTCAAGGTATCCAAATTTATTTTTTTTAACTCCCTATCATACAGGGTGTTAAAAATGTAAGCATTAAAATGTACAACCTAGTCCGCCCCTGGTAAACTAAACAAGCTAATTATGTTTTAAGGACAGTATTTTAAGAGGTTCTTACTACTGTTTATCCTATTAAATTTTTATTAAATTATATTAAGTAGTTTAAAAGTTATTCAAGAAAATCTGATTTCCAGTGGCGTCCTTTAGGAGGCCGTATCTCCGTAGGGAGGGCCGCTAAGAAAAAAATTTATTGGAACTTGTCATCTTATTTTTTATTGTTCTATCTGAATCCGAGAGATTTCCCACATTTTCCGGGACACCCTGTATATATATAAATATATATATATATATATATGTATTGGTGGTTTTCCGGGATCTGCTCCGTGTTGTGGGTTTTTGGTTCTTAATGTCTGACAAAGTCTTCAGATCCCGGAAAAGCACCAATACATACATATGTATTGGTGCTTTTCCGGGATCTGAAGACTTTGTCAGACATTAAGAACCAAAAACCCGTGGAAACCTAGAGCAGAACATATTTATATATATATATAAAGGGTTTTCCAATAGCTACGCTCGATCTTTGGCAAACGCGCATGCCTTTATCGATGGGCGGATCGATGGGATATTTGGTAGGAGCATTCAGTTAGTCTTTACATTTCATTATGGAACGCTACACTATTTAACAACACGTTGAAATAAAGGGTGTCCAAATTTGACCTTCCGATTTAAATTGACCGCCATATCTAGTAATCTTTATTGACAGTTTTTCTATAGTGACATATCTTAAGTAAAAACTTTGCGGTTAGTAGTTTCTTGGTCAACATGGAGCAGCTATCCATAGAAGAACGAGTTTTTATTCTAAAAACTTATTACCAAAATGGAGAAAGTTTGGCTAAAATCGTAGTGGTTACATTCGAGGTGTCCGATCAGAAGAAAACAATGTTTTCTTCTGATCGGATACCTCGAATGTAACCACTACGCCTGTTAACTTCTACAGTCTGTTGAAATTTCTTAATAAAATTCTCAATAACTTTAACAGAAGGTGCTAAATTTCTTCCGAAATGCGTTTCAGCAAAACTTTCTCCATTTTGGTAATAAGTTTTTAGAATAAAAACTCGTTCTTCTATGGACAGTTGCTCCATGTTGACCAAGAAACTACTAACCGCAAAGTTTTTACTTGAGATATGTTACTATAGAAAAACTGTCAATGAAGATTACTAGATATGGCGGTCAATTTAAATCGGAAGGTCAAATTTGGACACCCTTTAGTTAAAACCTAGGCCCTGAGTGGGCCCTAGAGCAATTGTAGGCTGATTCTGATTTTGGTCGAAAAATAATGTTTAGCGACGAGGCTCATTTTTGGTTAAGTGGCTTCGTTAACAAGCAGAATTGCCGAATTTGGAGTGACGAAAACCCACAGAAGATACATCAGGTCCCACTCCATTCCCAAAAAGTCACCGTTTGGTGCGCATTGTGGTTCGGCGGAGTAATTGGTCCATATTTTTTCGAAAATGCCGCACTTACTGTCAACGGTGAGCGGTATAGGACGATGATAGATTTTTTGGCTTAGAGTGAATGGGATGGATCTTGCGAATATTTGGTTTCAACAGGACGGTGCTACGTGCCATACTGCAGTTGAGACACTCACATTATTGCATGAGAAGTTCGAAGGTTCTGTAATATCGCGAGATGGCGACGTTAACTGGCCGGCCAGATCGTGCGATATAACGCCAATGGATTTTTTTCTTTGGGGATTTGTGAAATCTCGTGTCTATGCCGACAACCTACAGACGGTTGCTGCCCTAAAAGCCAACATCAGGCGCGTCATTGGTGAAATTGGGCCACTTTTCTACAATAAAGTCATCAAAAAGTACGCTGCTAGAACCCAGGATTTAAGTCACCAGGCAAAGTCGCGGCAGATATTTGGCTAAAATAGAACTAAAATCAGTTTCACTTACACAACTGATTTTATTAAATTTCAAACATCAAGCATAGCTATTGGAAAACCCTTTATATATTATAATTTTAATTTAATTTTAATAAGTAAAAACTCAAAAAAACCTTACCTTGTATTGTGAAAACAAAGTTTATATAAATTTATTTGGTTCGTATATGTAATGTATACCGCTAAAAATCCTGCCATTCCCCCAAGCAAAATGATTGTCTTAAATAGGGAAATAAGAATTTGATAAACAGCACAAGCAATCATGGATACCATGACCAGTAGAAGAAGAAACTAAAACATAACAATGTATAATTAATTAATATAATTATTATAGCTTTTACAAAAACAAATTTAATTTTTACACAGGTTGTCCAAAAAATACGTCTACAACGTTTGATGACAGACTCCTGACGTCAAGAACTTTGATCTAAGCCAAGTTAGTTTTATCTGAAATTGCTTCGATTCGTCAAAGAATAAAAAAATTTCTTCAAACAATATAAAAAATAAACTGCGCACCAGTCAATGTGTCGCGACCAAAAATTTCGTCCATTTTCAAAAAGGCATAACTTTTTGGTTTTTGAACGATTTTATTTTGGTTTGTGATGTCTGCTAGCCCCATTCTCTGGCAATTCATGCTAAAGATATAAAGCTCACGGTTCTTCAAGTAAATTTACTACAAGGTGATATATAATAATAATAATAATAATACTTTATTTACGACAAAGTCAGTTAAAACGGTGAAAAATTTCAATAACTTCATCCAAGCCCCGTTTGTAAAAAAAATATTTTTTTCTCGTTTTTACTTTGAAATAATATATATAATAATAAGTATTATGTCTTACCTTAAAACGTTTTTCAAATTTTTCGAATTGGAATCTAAGTAACGAAAATATGATTTTTTTTTCAAAAGGGTATATTTGATGCTTTTTTGTAGGCAATACACTCAGCCTTTTTAAGATAAAAAAGATAAGATGGTAAAAGATTGTTCCTTGAATAATTCTGAACAAGTGACAAGCAACAAACTTCCATTTCAGAGGAACCTAAGCAAAGACCACTTTTTCAATATGACATTTTGGAGAAAATTTGCGAAAACTAAACCTAAAACGATATTTACGTTCGTGACATGTTTGCTTTATAATTTTGATCTCCTGATATGATTCAGTTGTCAAATTAGTTTTAGATAAAACCAAAATCACCAAGAATCAAAATTCGAAAACAGTTCCCGGCTGTTAAATGTCTCAATAACATGCCTTTGCCAATGCCATTTGGGGATTCATTTTTTGGGAGAAGTTACTGCAATTTGTTTGAGTGGTTAGGATAATGTTACATAAATTACATTTATATTGTGCACTAGTGATAACTTATTACTGATTAGTACCTACCTAATTGGTAATGAAGTTAAATACAAAATTTGTTTGTTCATTTTTGAAAATTTTATGCGAAGATATAATCATAATAAAAACTACAACATTCAACAGAAAAATGTAACAAACAATAACAATAATAACTTTCAATATTTCGTTGGCCCTCCCCTAACCCGTAATAATTTGTTAACCCTCCCGGGCATTCCCTAGACCAAGTTCCTTAGAAATTCCTGGGGTATGGCTTCCCATTCTCAATAGGATTCATATCAGGAGACAAAGTTGGCCAATTCATTCTCTCAATATCATGGTCCCTTAAATACTCATTTACGATATTAGCGCGATGCGGACGGGCATTGTCGTCCACCAACACCAAATTATTGACATTTAATTTTCATCATTTTATCCTTGATTTGATCATTCAGTGACATGATAATAACGTACTAAAGATGCAAAATACATTAAAAAACAGTACAATCCAGCAATCAGATTTTATTGAGACATTTAACAGCCAGGAATTGTTTTCGAATTTTGATTCTTGGTGATTTTGGTTTTATCTGAAACCTAAATTTGACAACTGAATCACAATCAGGTCAAAACTATGAAGAAAACATGCCACGAACGTAAATATCGGTTCAGGTTTAGTTTTCGAAAATTTTCACCAAAACGTCATTTTGAAAAAGTGGTATTTGCTTAGGTTCCTCTGAAATTAATGTAAGTTTGTTGCTTGTCGCTTGTTCAGAATTAATGAAGGAACAATCTTTCACCATCTTATCTTTTTATTCTTAAAAAGGCTGAGTGTATTTCCTACAAAAAAGCATCAAATGTACTCTTTTGAGAAAAAAATCATATTTTTGTTGCTAAGATTCCAATTCGAAAAATTTGAAAAACTTTTCAAGGTAAGACATAAAAACCAGAAAAAAATATTTATTTTACAAACGGGGCTTGGATGAAATTTTTCACTGTTTTACATATCACCCTGTAGTAAATTTACTTGAAACACCGGGAGCTTTATATCTATAGCATGAATTGCCAGAGAATGGGGCTAGCAGACATCACAAACCAAAATAAAATCGTTCAAGAAACAAAAAAGTCGTTTTGAAAAAGGACGACATTTTTGGTCGCGACACATTGAGTGGTGCGCAGTTTAGTTAATAACGTGCTAATACAATAAAAAATTGTGAGTAAAACTACCTTAAGTATTATGCTTATAAGTTTAAGCCCAATTATTACATGCATAATAAACATGTGTGCAATATTAACTATTGTAACAGTATTTAATTTAATTACGGTAGCTTTTACTCACAATTTTTTATTGTAACGGACGGTACAAATATTCCCAAGTATACTCTATAGCGAGTATACGCTATAGCGTGGAATGGCTGACCTATTAAAACTGTAATACAAAATATCTAACAAAAATATTCTTGCTATGGCAATTTGACTATTGACATAATGTCAATTTGATAAAATAAGATCAATTCCTAATTTCTAATATTCTACTTTTGATATACCGATTTTATTAAGAATAATACGAGTACAACGTTTAATGACAGATTCCTGACGTCAAAATAAGTAATAACTAAAATTCGTTTAGCCTCTAAACTTTAGCCGATAGATAGTATAATAACCGGCTATAAGTAAGCTGAAGTGATATAAATGTTACCTCATATTTTACCGTTACTCACGGATAACAATACGTACTTCAAGAAGGTTGACATGCTCTTTTATCTTTAAAACATCTCAATAATTTTTAATTGTATGCTTTTTTTTTATATTCATAAGTTATATGAAGTTTGGCAAAGGTGCAAATGCGTGCGCGGCGAGGGCTCTGCCATTTTTATTAAGGTGCTAATGAAAAGAGAGATTTCACGGGGATCCTATGGTAGGGACGGAGATGGGGCTATGTTGGACATCTCAACATTATGTTAAATGGTAAAATCAAAGAACACATTGTGCCATTAGATAAATACAAATGGGTGGTTGTGTGTTGGCAACTTTTTAGGTATACGAAGCAATGAATAAAATTAGCATCTTAAAAAATTTGTTTGGTAGATTTTCCTCTAAAAAAACTACAAAATATAGAATTAGGTTAGCCTATACTGTATACGTTTTATTTAAAGGTGACCAGACTTGGCACTAGGCAGGGATAATCTTGTCCATAAATCCAAAGTGCAAATTAATAATATTTTTGGGTTTTACATTAGTTAAATTCGGCTTATCGTTTTGGGGAGCTTTCTAGTAAGTTAAGAAAGATATAAAAAATTCTCCTTTTGGTGCAGTTATTGTTTTTAGATATTTGTGTAAAGAAAGACCCGTATTTTGGGGTTTAACGTGCTGCTGCATTTTAAATCTTTTAAACCCATAAACCCAAATAAATAAATTATGAGTCTGTCATGAGTGGTAGATTAAATGAAGTAATAAGTATGAGTATGAGTATAAGGTACGTTTAGCTGGCCCCATCAGCATTGTCTGGTCTCCCAGATATATTTGGTTTCCCAGATATATTTTCCCTCTTTCAGTTCTTCTGCGTATCCTGCAACTGCACAGCATTACCTATGTTTGATGGATACAAAGTTCACCCCGGCCGGTAAATCAACCTTGGGAGATCGTGGACGACAGTGTCGACGGTTAAGACCACTTCCCGATTTTTTTGACCGGGCTATACGCTTAATTTTTTGAATAGTAACGTTAGGGATAAGGAGGGAAAACATTTTGGTTCTCGGGGGACGATAGACTGACACAAAACTAAGTACAATACGGAATCCCCCTAGTCCCAGGATTTAGTTACAACCCAATTTGGGTTTATGAATGGGAATTTGTTGGTTAATCCGCTGTATGGACCTATCGTGCTTCTTGTCTTAATTTTTGTTCGTGGAAGTTTCAAAAAGTTGTTAAGTAGGGGTAATTGTATTGTAGTTTTTGAATAGTTCAATATGAATTAGCTTTAAAATTGTAAATATTACAGGCAGAAAATTTCAAACAAATACGGTAGGTTTATGGTTTTATTACAAATCGCGCTAAAAAGGTGACAATGTAAAGAAAAAAAGTTGGTTGGTACTTTTTAAAAAACATGTCACTATGTCACATTTGGGGCTAATGTGATAACACCATGCAAAATCCCATTGAAACATTGGTATATTGGCTGGGGTAATTGTAAGATTAGGCTCCTTTTTCTATAGATTAGTCCAGGTTTTGTTAATTTTGCTTAAAAAACTAAATAGTTATGAAATATTATAAAAAATATCGGCTTTAACTTGAGTTTTGGGTTAGAAATGATGATGTTAATAATTATACAATCACTGTACAATGCGTCGGTAACATAGATTTCTGTAATAGCGTTATTTTGAATACTGGCCACCAGATTGCTGCTTAACGATTTTACAGGAATAAATAATTTATATTTACAATTACCCCGTTATCACATCTACCCCCATAAACCTTATTGATATTCCAAAAATAATAAAAGAACATATATTAACGCGTCAACAGGTCAAAATTATGTCATATTGATACGAGTTTGATGGTTTTATGTTTGGGTAACTCATTAGTTTAATTGTTTTATGTTTGGATAACCGATTTTTTTAGTTTGTTGGTCTTTCTAAGATTCTATTTTATGTTGCACAATCCTATATAGGCCTGCTATTGATTAAATTTCAAAATAAAACTAATAGTAGTTGTTAACCTTTTAAAAACAAACAATTTTGCCCGATTTTATGTTTTTTCATTAGCTAATTTTAACCGTTCATACTGTTAACAAATATGCCATGCTAACTTGGCAAGATATTTTAAAAATTTGCTAATTAAGTTTAGTTTATTAAAATGGTATAACATTGGCCATGTTTTACTTTAAAGAAAAATATACAGTGGCAGCTCCTGATTTATGATAAAGCAGATTTACAAATTAAAAAAGCGGCAGGGAATTTTTTTGTGGCCTGCACATATATTATTATTTTTAACCTTTCAAAACAATACAAAATATCATATTAAACATTAAAATATGTTTGAATAAAAGAATGAACAAAATGTTAATTTTATCATTGTGTACAGTGTACACTCCATGTCCATTCGTCTGTCCTTATTTGCAGCAAACTTCTCAATAATAGCCTCAGTACTCATTACTGAGGTACTTCACTGTTAAAGTGTTCATACTAATTGTTGTTATGTTAATAAACGCAGGAAAGCACCACGAATTACGAAATTAACACAAGGCAAACTGGTTTTGGAGCACACTAAATATGTGCGTGTTTTCCTATTAAAATTCGCGCAGCAGGCTAAGAATATACAGAAAAAACTGCAAAGCTTCACCTAGGTACTTATGGCACGAGCGACCGTTCTACGTCATCAAAGCCGCTTAGGAACGGTGCGATAATAATTATTAAGGAGGTTCGGAAATTACAAAAAATATTATAAATTAATAAAATAAATGATGGATGATGTACCTTTGACCACGCGCAGGTCAATGTGGCTTTAATATGATGGCTGGTCAGCTCATTACGTACGGAGTGTAAGAAATTATTTGGATCAGGTTTATTCAGAGAAGGTTTCATTTTGTGGACTCTTTGATCTCCGGATTCAAATCCTCTTGATTTTTTCTACTGGGGTTGCATAAAGAAAAAAGTCTATGGAACAGTAATTCATAATGTAAATGAATTGAGACACCGACTTATTGAACCCGCACAACAAATAAATGGAGCAGGAAGTGCTTACATTCGACTTGATGTCAGGCAATTTGAACACCATCTTTGACTTTTATTTGTGATTCGTCAAGTTAACGTGTTAAAATGTAAAAAACTATTATTTTGAACTGTAATCAACATAGGGTTGGGATTTTGACCGGTCAAAATCTTTCATGGTCAATTGAACGATCAATTGACCGGACAATTGACTAAGCACCGGTCAAATTCCTTAGTTGTTTATAAAGAAATGAAGGCATGAGTAAAATTACTTAATTTTAAATAGAAACGTATATTTATTGAAAAACAGCTAACAAAAAATAAAGAAACCATTCTGGGGTACAAAATATCATTGTTTTTAATAACATTTACGTCTAACAACTCGCAGCAGAGCAGCAACAGCAGCCCAGCAGATAAGACTTAAAGATGGTACATGAGATTGTACCGAAACGTCGTCAGACATACGGTTCTTTTAAGAACCAAAAACCGACAACACGGTGCTAGCATGTGTTCACTGAACCCACCCTCCCCATTGTCTTTACTCTTTTAAAATTAATTAGTCAAAAATGACCCAGAACACTATTTTAAAAGCATTATTATGATTGCACACAAAACATTGTTTTAATACTTTTGATATTTTTCCCTAGATATCGCCGCCGCCGCGCGCTGTTGCATTAAAAGTTTTTGACCGATTTTGACATGGTCAAAATCTCTCCTGTCAAAATAGGTAAAAATCTCGGTCAATTGACCAGGCACAACATATATACAGGGTGTTCCAAAAGTCAACGAAATCCTTTGGAGGACTGATGGGCCAACTCATGCCAAAAATCAAAACTCCAAAAATCAAAACATGACCTAGACTTAGTTTTTGAGATATTGGCATTTTTATAAATTTTGTGAAACTTGAGACCTTAGATCAGTTTTTCGAGTGCAACAGATGCAAAATTTCATATTCTAAGATTCTATTTTATGTTGCGCAGCACTGAATAGGCCTGCTGTTGATTTAAGGTTGTGCCTGGTCAGAGCTGCAACAAGTCAGTTTTAAAAAGACTTAAATCTTAAGTCTTAAGTCAATTCTAAAATCAAAATGATTTAAATCTTAAGTCAATTCCAAGATAAAGTTCAAATGATTTAAGTATTAAGTCTTTGAATTAAATCATTTTCTTTCAAGTCAAGTCATTTTCGCAAATTCTTAAATTAATATAAAGTGATTTAAGTCATCTTATGACTTAATTCCTTTAGTAAGTCGTTTTTATGACTTAAGTCTATATTTTTTATTTAAATCGTGATCTAAGAGTTAAGTCAATAAAATGACTTGAAAAATTGTGATTTAAATCAAAATAATTACCCTTAAGTCAATACAACGATTTTTTAAATTATTATTATTAATGATACTGATATTATTAATCTATTGTAGATACAGATGATAATAAAAAAATAAATAAATAAAAATAAATAACATAGTTGTTAAGAATTTAAAACGATTTATTTTTACTTACAAACAAAATAAAAACTTAAAACACATTTTTTGAGTATATATACTAAAAAAGGTGGTTTAAGTTTTTATTTTGATTGTCCACTATAGTGGACAATCAAAATAAAAACTTAAACCACCTTTTTTAGTAGAGTAGACATACAGGGAGGCTACTTTTTTATATACATAAATGGATAACTTCTAAACGGTAATAGATTCAAACTCTGTTAAAATAGATAAACGTTGAAGCATTTTTCTTAAAATCGCTGTATTTCAAAAACTGATAACTTGTTGTTCTGTTAACTTTTGTTAGCTGGTTCAACATCCATCTAGAAAAAAAAATTCCTCCCTTAAGGGAGTAATGATGGGAGGTTCCAAACTCTCGATTCACGACCGCTCAAGATTTATGACTGCTCACTACCGGTCACGACTACTCCCGATTCACGATTTACGACCACTCACGACTGTAATAATTTAAGACTACTCATGTTCACGCACAATCACGTTTGAATAATTTTATTCACGCACAATCACGTTTTTTGTCGTAATTATTTACTTAAACAAACCGAAACACCCTGTATGATATAAACACGTTTTTATAATATTTATTCGTCCTTACCTGTTAATCGTTTGTTTCCACTTTGCACTACTAATCACAAATTATACCTAACTAGGCACGCATAATACGACGAATGTTAGCAAACAAAATAACAAAATTATAAATCCCCACTTTTTTTTTCATTTATTTTAGACAGGACACTTTTTAATGTAGCCCTCAAACGGTTCCGAAAAGCTATAGCTATAGTTATAACTTTACCGCGGCGGTTTTTTTATTCACTAGCGGTAGCAATTGTAGGTAGGAAATTAAAGGAGTTTTTGATCTGCTGCCGCGTGAACCCCTGGCAGTTCAAAAGAAAATGCCGCTGTTAAAAATTTACAAAAAATATATGAAAAATCTGACTTAAATATTTTCTAAAAAGACTTAAATCTTTTTCAAAAAGACTTAAATCTTTTTAAATTACTTAAATAATTTACCGACTTTTATAAAGACTTAATTCTTTTTTTGACTTAAATCGTTTCTATCTGACTTAAATCGTATGTACTGATTGAAGCCTTTTATTAATGACTTAAGGTTTTTCTATTTTGAAAAAATATTTAAGTCACAAATCATTTTGAAAATTACTTAAATTTTAAGTCTTAAGTCAGTTTAAGGGAAATGACTTATTACCAAATGACTTAAGTCATTAAAACGATTTAAATCAAAAAAAACGATTTAAGTTTTCTGAGAGCTTGCAGCTCTGTGCCTGGTCAATTGACCGAGACTTTTACCGATTTTGACAGGAGAGATTTTGACCATATCAAAATCGCTCAAAAACTTTTAATTCAACCGCGCGGGGCGACGGCGCTACCTAGCGGAAAATATCAAAAGTATTAAATTTTTTGTTCTGGGTCATTTTTGGCTAATTAATTTTAAGAGAGTAAAGACAATGGCGAGGGTTGGTTCAGTGAGGATGATGTGCCGTTATCTATACATGCTAGCACCGTGTTGTCGGTTTTTGGTTTTTAAAAGAAACGTATGTCTGACGACGTTTCGGTACAATCTCATGTACCATCTTCAGGTCTTATCTGCTGGGCTGCTGTTGCTGCTCTGCTGCGAGTTAGACGTGAATGTTCTTAAAAACAATGATATTATGAATGTTTTTTTTGTACCTCAGAATGGGTTCTTTATTTTTTGTTAGCTGTTTTCAATAAATATACGTTTCTATTTAAAATTAAGTACTTTCACTCATGCCAATTGACCATGAAAGATTTTGACCGGACAAAATCCCAACCCTATAATATGTTTTTTATTTGTATAGAGAAAATAAATATTTATTTTTATTAATTTTAGAATTTTCTAGCCTTAGTAAATAGAGCGATTATTGACCCGCATGAATTTAGGATGTGAAATCACTTAAAAGCCAGCAACGATTTTCCCTTTGATTTTAACGAATTCATCGTTAGACTTAATGATCTTAGGATGCTAAACAAAATGTGAACTCATATGCATGCCATAGTGACACTACTCAAGAATTAGCAATGATTTGATGTCATAAATGATATACTAATTGTTATCTGGGAGAGTTCTTTAAATCAATATTTTCAATATTATTTCGTAAAATTCGATTGCAGACCTTATACTTATATCGTTATTTTAAAATAAATATTATACAAAATACTTACATCTACCAAAAAATATTGCTTACAGTTTTCCATATTATTATTAATTACGTAAGTATGATATGTACAATTTTCTTGACTAACTTTCGTATTAATACATTGTATTTCCTTTGGTAATGACGTCTAAAATATATTTAAAACATACTTTTTTATAAACAACACTTTAAATAACTTACCATAGGTAACATTACTAATATATAGATACAAACAGCCATTGTAAACGAGAATACTTGAGCTACATTTCTATTCCTATGAATATATTTAGAAAAAATTAATATTTTTAAATTGTATTTCTGAAAAGAAAATTATATTTATTGATTTTAAGTTATAATTATTTTATAAATTGAGTATCTTATTTGTTGTAGAAATACTTACCATCTTAATACTTTTTACATATACCAATAATGGTATAAAAGTTAAAAAAGAAATAATCGGTATGGAACACAGTATGGCTGTATCATTTCTAAAAACAAAAAAAAATAAATTATTTTAAAACATGTACAAACTGGTATAAGACTTAGTAATTATAATTGTAATTATAAATGGGTAAAACTTAAAAGCAATCTAAGTAATTATTATTATAATATTCAACGTCTTCAATGAAAACAAAGTATTATTTATGTATGTAAAAGTATATTTAGTAATTATAAATGGGTGAAACCACCGCGTACTCTATACTCTATAGAGTACGCCGTGGTGAAACCCAAAAGCTATACACTATTATTATTTTATGACTGTAGTAATATCTACTTCTTTTACTAGTCAGAATATCATAGTATTTTAAAAAAGATCAACATCCCAAATTCAATCCGATTCCCAATGTTTTCTAATGGTCGACTGGTCTTGTTTTTTTGTTATGTTACACAAATTACCCAATCATTTTAACATTTAACCCTAGACCAGTGGTCTATGACCACACCAATAGAAACGTAACTACCTGAAAATGTTGTGATTCAATAAATCAATTAAAATGAAAGTAATTAAAATGCAACGTTGCCAAAATCGCCCGCCAATATTTCAAAATATATATGTGAGAAAATGGCACTTATTATTAACAAAACACTTTGTTTATATAAAACCTCTAACAAGATCTAATTGCTCTAACAAAATAGTAATAAGTAAAACCTCCTTATTAAGGAGTCCTTAAATCTACGCTGCACGCATTTTTATATCATTTGGGTATCCCCTCCCTATCTTGATCGTAGATATAGAGACACATAGGTAGGGACTTCCCCGGGAATTGAGTTATCAAGTTCTTGCACCGAACCTTGCCAATTTTAAAATAATATATGTGAGCATACATCTGAAATAATTGCCTATGTTCTACCCATAAAATCATTCAATGTGTTTCTGCATCTTCATTCTGCCCTATCTATGTGTCTCTGCATCTACGATTTAGATGGGGAGGTGATACCCAAATGATATAAAAATGCGTGCAGGGTATATTCAAGGTTTTCACTTATTACTATTTTGTTAGACGAATTAGATCTTGTTAGAGGTTTTATAATAAACCAATGTGCGTAAACAAAGTGGTTTATTAATAATTTAAAATTTTCTCACATCAGAAGTGGGATAAAGAAAACTACGTGAAAATTAAAAAAAAAACAATTGTTACAATGGAACAACTAGCATAAGTTTTGGTGGACACCTTAAAAGAACTTAAAGACAATAGCAATCGTCAAGTGGTGTCAGTGCCTTCAACTTCTATAGACATTCCGAAATTTAACCCGAATGAGGGTGATGGTGCTTTGAAGTGGTGTTAAAGTATAGAAAGATTGGGAAAAACATTTCATTGGTCTGATTTTAAACAATTAACGCGTGCTGTAGTGGCCTAGTTGGTGAAACTAATACCTGGTTTTCTGCATGGAATCCTTTAGAGAAAAACTGGAAGCTTTTCAAGACAGAAATTATAAATCTCTACCCGCCAAATAGAAACTTAAGCGAGAAGTTACGAAAGGCCAGCTTATTCACCAGCGACAATGCAACTTCTTATAGTGAGTATGCTAGAAACAAACTTTCGTAAAAAGTTAAAACTTTAATTTATCCGACATTGAGTTGTTAGAATTAGTTGTTGGCGATATTAAGGAGGTTTAAGTAAAAACCGCAGCATAGTAATTTGACAAATATTTTACATTGAGAAAAACGATGATATCCTTTCTCTGCTAATAATAATACAAAGTTATATTTTAAATGTAACAAACCCGGTCACTAAAGTCGTAATTGTACTAAAATAAAAAAAATAAAAATACTAGTTGACCAGCTTAAAAGCCGTTCTTGTACTAATTGTGGTAAATTTGGTTATCTTGCTGAAAAGTGTTTCAATAAAAAGAAACAAATCTGACTAGATGTTGCCGATAAAGCTGAAGTCTAAATAAATAATTTATTAAATTATTTTAGTGTTTTATGCGTTAAGTGAAATTTTGTTAAATATGTTTTAGTGGATACAAATCTACTAATACCTTTATCAAAAAATCTAGTGTAACGCGCATTGTATGCAACCAGGAATACCCGTTAGTTACTTCGGTTACCGCCTTTAAAGAGTGGTAAAAGCACTGTCAACTGTCAATTTTTGTCGAGGAAACTTGTGCAATTAATAAAGTTAATAAAACGATGATTCTTTTTGTAAACCCACCGGTAATCAAATGTTAAAATAAAACTCCAACATAGTAAGTTTCTTACAACTAGCGCCCAACCTAGTGGCCAAGAAATCGGTGATTTTAAAAGTTGTCACGAGTTTAACCTCTCTTTTAAAAGTAAAATCCAGTTTTATTTGCTTTTCTTCTAGAAAATACCCCGCAACGAACGACAAGGATTCGCCTTTCGACCCCGAAAGCGTAAGGCTGCTGTAACCACTGCTACTAGGAGGCCCTCGATAGTTGCAAATCCCGAGACGTTTCGACAGAAGAAAACATGCCTTAACCGCTACCGGAAACTCAATCGAGCACAGTTGCACAAAACCCGGTGATAAGCCTCACTACTAAACAATTGCAAACAATAATCTCAATTGCAAACAATAATCTCAAGTATTTTAGCTACCATTACTGCAGCTGGACCAGTAGGTGCAACTCTTCGAGATGCGATTACGCTTTTCCGGAGATAAAGGAGAGGATGTCAAAGCCTTAATCGATGCAGTAACTGTATAAAGGAATGCCTTAAGGTTACAGATGGAAATTAACTCAAAGGACTGCGCATGATCCTTAATAAATTGGCTGCCACGTGGTACCAAGAACCTAAAAGTCAATTTAAAACCTTTAAAGACACGTCTAATGGATTGCGCCATGTTTTTGGCCGTCATGACGCGTCATCAACCTCCACAACGTATTTTTGGCAAGTTATTCAGTAACCCTTAAAAAGATGATTAACCAACCAATATCTTTGTTAGCACAGCCAGAGTGCTGCTATATAACTTCCGCCAGAACCACAAATTTTACACCAATCAAACAAACACAGTTCGCCAAAAAATAACTATTTTTAAGCTATCGCGTTGGGAAATGAGTGCCATAAAATATGTCAATTTTTGGTCAAACGTGGCTAGATTTACAACTCATATGTCCAAATAAACGCCAATATATTGTAAAATATCATACGCCAAACTTAGTTGGAACAAAGTTGACTAAGTTCTTTTCCAAACCTTGCAGAACACCTTTCCATAAATTAACAACATGTCAATGTATTCTTTGGAGCATACTTTTTAATTGCTTGGTTAGGATTCTACAATTACAACATACCCGGTCAACATTTAACGTAACACAATATTGCTATTATGTAACATAGGAGTAACATTGCAATGTAACGATGTTACTTAAATGCAACGCAACAGTTACCTAAAATAATAGTAACATTGTTACTGTTCCAAGTTAACCAATAGTCAATATAACAACAACGTAACATTGCGATACTATTGTAATATAACTAAATTACAAATAAGCAATGTAACAAAAATGTAACATTGTAAAACTATTGTAATATAAAAAATTACCAATAAGCAATATAACAATAACGTAACATTGTGAAACTATTGTAATGTAACAAAATTACCAATAAGCAATGTAACAACAATGTAACATTGTGAAACTATTGTAATATAACAAAATTACCAATATAACAATAACGTAACATTGTAAAACTATTGTAATATAACAAAATTACCAATATAACAATAACGTAACATTGTGAAACTATTGTAATGTAACAAAATTACCAATAGGCAATGAAAGAACCATGTAACATTAAAAAACTATTGTAATATAACAAAATTACCCATAAGCAATGTAACAAAAAGGTAACATTGTGAAACACTTGTAATATAACAAAATTACCAATTAGCAATGTAACAACAACGTGACATTGTGAAACTATTGTAATGTAACAAAATTACAAATAAGCAATGTAACAACAATGTAACATTGTGAAACTATTTTAATATATCCAAATTACGCATAAGCAATGTAACAATAAGGTAACATTGTGAAACAATTATAATATAATAAAATTACCAATTAGCAATGTAACAACAACGTGACATTGTGAAACTATTGTAATGTAACAAAATTACCCATAAGCAATGTAACAACAAGGTAACATTGTGAAACAATTGTAATACAACAAAATTACCAATTAGCAATGTAACAACAACGTGACTTGTAAAACAATTGTAATAAAACAAAATTACCAATTAACGATGTAACAACAACGTGATATTTTAAAACTATTGTAATGTAACAAAATTACCCATAAGCAATGTAACAACAAGGTAAAATTGTGAAACAATTATAATATAACTAAATTACCAATTAGCAATGTAACAACAACGTAACATTGCGATACTATTGCAATAAGTTTGTTACATAACAATTAAATTTATGTTACGTAACAAACTTATACTTATACACATAATTTACATCTCGCTCGTGTTACTAACCTCGGCTAGATATATAAACGAAGTTAAGACAGCGCACCATGTCCATTTGTTATTGGACCTTAAACAGTCTGCCTGATTATGGGAAAGTCAGAAAACATATTTATCATTTGATACGCTTTAGCGTTAAACTGACGGGACTTTCTCATGTAGAGCATAATAACGTTGCAACGTAACATTGTTACCTAATCGTAAAGGCCATGTTATGTAACATAACTTGTTTGCGAAAATGTAACGGCAACGTAACATTGTTACCTATTTACAACCATTAGGTTATGTAACTGTAATGTTGCATATTACGATTGTTGCATAACATTTTGGTTAATTTTACGTTACAGTTATGTTTGACTTTCATAACGGCAATGTAACATTATAATTCATTAAAAAGTTACATAAAAACAATATAACAATTATAATGCATTTATGTAACTACAACGTAACATTGTTATGTAACAATGTTACTAAAAAAGCGGCAAATGGCAACCTATTTGCAACCGCCAGGTTATGTAACTGTAATGACATAACATATTAAGACCGTTGCATAACATTTTGGTTAATGTTAAGTTTTGTTATGTTTCACTTTCATAACGGTAATCTAACATTGTAATCCATTAAAAAGTTACATAACAACAACATAACAATTATAATGCATTTATGTAACGACAACGTAACATTGTTATGTAACAATGTTACTTCAATAAGTGGGAAATAGGAACCTATTTGAAACCATCAGGTTATGTAACTGTAATGTTACACATCACAATAGTTACATAACATTTTGGTTAATGTTACTTACAATGTTGACCGGGGAGTTACTATGCGGTAACAACTAATAAAATAGATTGACAGAAGGTAGGTTGATTTTAGGTTTACATTTAGCGAGACTGCATTTAATAATATTTCTCTTAACATTCAACTTTTGTTAACTAAAGTGTTTTAGTGTTAATAATTTTTTTATACCGTGTTAAATCACACCCTAAAAATAAAATCATTTATTAGAAAATGAAATCTTAAAAAGAAAAAATATCTCTCTTATAATTTAATTTTAGCTAATGTGTTTTAGCGTCAATATCTTTCTTTTACTGTGTTTTATCACTCCTTAAAAATAAAATCTTAGAACAATTATATCTCTCTTAATATACAACTTTTGTTAAGGTGTGTTAATAACCTTATTTAACTATGTTTAACCACCCCTTAAAAATAAAATCACAAATCACAAGACCGCAAAACATATTATAATCTATAAATTTCGTAACACCAATGATATAGGTATAAAACTAAAATTTAAAGTAAAGCAATTTGTAATATCAATATTATTTCATAAACTTACCTGTTAAATATACCAAGTTGAACCAATAAAATTGTTAAAAAACAAACAGTACTACAAGAAAAATATAGCGATAGCATTCTATCTCTTTCCAAGACAAACTAAAAAAAGATTCTAATTATTTTTGTATAAGTTTAACTAAAATGTAATTGGCTATTCTTATTTAGAGTTGATAGCAATATACATTAGAGTAGACATAGAAAGACATTTCGATTAAAACTGAAAAAAATTTACACAACGCGTGAAAAAAACTAGCACCATTTTTCGCATTATATTATTTTTATTCAAATAAAAAAATCTTTATTTTTCTAAAGCTAGTTTGTTATTTTAATAAAGGTATACGCAATTTTTTAAGCTTGAAGAACTGACCAACCAACAAATTTCCCTAGTAGCAATTTGGGAAAAGCCTTGTGCCAGCATGGGTCAAGATACTTGGAACAGATTGTTGATCAAGAATTGTTCAAGAATTGGTCCAGATTCTTGATCAAGATCATTGGGCAAGACTTGGGCCAGACTGTAGCCAGAATTTGTCAAGAATTTGACCAGAAGTCTGAGGCCATCTGTTACTAAACTTAGGGACTATCCCATAGAGTAGAGGTTCTCATTTTACTGTAGTTTCATTCACAATACTCTAGTCGAGAAGTGTGTGTAAGAGATAAGGAATTATTAATTTTTTTTCAACAGATTCGTTTATTTCTGACAAGGTAAAAATAAAAAAAATCTGAAATCAAACTCAACGCTAAACTGTAAAGAACTGACGTTTTCAAACTTATTGACTACATTATAATTGAGAACCACTGCAATGCTATACTTTTCACTTTCAAGTGAAAGTAGGGAAATAGGAGGCGCGCTTGTCGTATTTTTAGTTTCTCGCGTAAGTCTATCTCAAGACTGAAATTCTGGTCAAAAACTGGCCCAAGTCTGGAGCCAGTCTGTATAAAGAATCTTGGTCAAGTGTCTTGATCAAGAATGTGTATAAAGTGCTTCTCCAAGTATACTTGCCGGAGAATCTTGTCCCATTCCATTGCTACTAGGTTTTGTATGATGAGGCATTTTTGAAGATTTCGATAATATTTTTTAAATGTGAATGGTAGCTGCCATTTTGGCCTTAAAAAGCATGATATAATGAATTTTAATTTATATACAAAAAAAGCATGACTTACTGAATTTTAATTTATATATTTGCCAATTACATTTATTATATTAAAAATACTAAGAAAAAAAGTTAAAATGTGTTTATTACTTACCTTTGATTCCTTAATAGGATCCCGAAAATTTAATAAAAGTACCCTACAATGTTCTGTTCGTAGTCTATCTATGCTACGAGCATCAATAGCTTTCATTAAATACTCATTAACTTCATCTTCTGGATTTTTTTCTCTAGGACTGGATTCGTTAAATCCTAATCTAAAATTATTTTATGTATAAAATAATAGGCATTTAAAATTATTTAATTAAATATAATATTTTTGGAACATAACGATTATAAAAAATTCCACGTACTTCGATGAATGTTTTCCCTGTTCATGGCCCATTATTCGCATTTCCTTGGAAATATTCCCATTTGTAGATTGAATTTGATATGGTATGCAACCCTGGAATAAAATTAAACAATTTAATAATTTGATAGAAAAACTGTTTAATTATAAAGTTTCAGAATAAATTATGTAATAATATTTAAAGTGAACATTTTAAGAAAACTTGTTTTAATATTTACATATAATTTATATTTAAAAAACTAGAATGGCTGATTTAAATATTATCATTTTTAAGAAAAAAAATTAAACCGGTAACCGGTAAGATAACTAAATATTTGGGATAGTTATTGGATTTATAATGTGTATTAAAAGGATTTTTCTAAAAAGGTTTAGCTGTCATAGTTAAAGTTATTTGTCGGAGTATTAAACTTACTTAATTACCATATCTAAACAGTTTAACTAAAGTCTCAAAATCTTTGCATAAACTAAGTACATTGTTTAATTAAAATAATAAAAATTTATAATTGTTTTTTAATATAAAATTTACTTACTATTATTAAAATAAACGACCTAGGTATCCTAAATGCTGGATAATATGAATAAAGTGTATTAATTTAAAAGGCGTTTTTATTATAATCATTTATTAAAAAAAATTATAAATATTCACAGAAATTTTTTGACATCGTTATTACAAATACATTACATACCTACAGTAACATATTACCAGTAAAAGCTTCTTTAAACTCTTCTAAATTAATACTTTTTAGAAATGATTTTTACTTCATTTCCATAGTTCACTCATATAGTAGCACCAGCACAACACAAAGGCTAAAAACGAAATGCCGGTAAAACGGTTCGGCGCAGGCATAAAGGCGCAGGTTTGTCTTTCACGAGATTCAACGAATTATTTTAATTTTAATTATGGTCTTAAAAAAGTGTATTTACTACAGTTTTTAATAAACTTTTCAATTAAATTATCTAACTATATTCGTTAAACTAGAATTAAAAAAATAATTTAATTATAACAGCTAATCATACAACAGATTTAGTTAAATCTATTTTAGTAAAATCTATTTAACTATACAATCTTACTTCTGTTATTATTAAACTTTTATTAATTGTAAATATATAAATATTAATTAAATTGTTTAACTAGGTCATTTTTTTCGATTCAATATCCGGCGATTTAACGCTCCTTAATTGTATGCATATATCTGAGTACCAAGATTGTACCAAGTTGCATGCCACAATTGAAACCTTTTAATTTATGTAATTTTGTAATTTAATTTTTCTACAACCAAGCGAAAAGTACAAATTTGCGCTTCCAAAAGAAATCGCAAAGTTGCACTTTTCCGAGGACGAGCGTTTTTTTACTTTGTCGCTCGCTTAGTTACCATGGAAACCATAATAAAGAAACGTTTAGTGTATTTGCGACTTTTGACACAAACGTCAAATTTAATGTTATTAATAATTATTAATTTTTATCAAACATTATTGTAGAAAAAATCCTGTGTGTAATTCGAGCGTAAAGTGACATTGCCGCTCTCGCGAGATAGCCAAACTTCTCGCTCAGAGCGGCAATGTATCACTTTGGGCTCTTAATACACAAATAGCTATTATGTATTAAAACAATACCAAAAATAATGGTTAATTTTACTTACTCCCCTGTAAGAAGGTGCAACTATTAAATATGTTTCGATATTATGATCCTTTAAATATGAGTTTCTTTCTCCCCCATTTCCGGCTTCTACCACATAATCAGTGCCTAGACATTTAAGAGTCTCTTGTGTTATATGAACTCGCCTAAAAATAAATAATTGCTTAAGTTTTTATCTTAATATAATAATAACATCGTTGGTGATTATAAACTAATTTAATTTGCTTTAAATATACCTAATGAAAATTAAATACTAAAAATGTTATGGTAACATTTTACACTCCCTGTCAATATTGTAACGTAACAATGTTATAACACATAAATGTGTTATATTGCAGTTATACTTGATGGTTTTAAATTGGTTTTTATTTCCCGCTTTTCGAATTAAAATTGTTACATAACAAAGTTACGTTGTTGTTACATAAATGCCTTAAAATATGAATGTTATTGTTATGTAACTTTTTGATGGATTAAAATTTTACATTGTCGTTATAAAAGTTTTTAGGATTCGGTTACATTAATTTAATAATCAGCGTTAATACTGTGACTATTCTCCCGGCTCCGGGATTCGTACCAATCCCAGCTCACGTTATATATAGCCGATGACGTCAGCAGTAACCGCGAGAGGTCAGTAATTTTTACGTTTTTAGTGGCAGCCCTGTTTAAATAAATAAATATATAAATATCTTTATTATTAGCATAAGCTATTTTCAATTTCTCATCATTATATATATAAAAATATTAGTAATAACATCATAAATATCACAGGTCAATTTTTTCTTTTACATAAGATAGAATATATTTCTTAAAACTAATTAAATTATCACAGTTTTTAATTTCATTTGGTAAAGTGTTAAATAATTTTAGCCCATTAACAAAAACACTTTTTGTAGTACGCACTTTGTTAAAATTTTCAACATAAAAATCATTATTTTGTCTAGTACCGTAATTGTGGATGTTTTGGACTAAATGAAATTTATCGTATAAGTATGATGGTAATAATCCAATTTTAATTTTATAAATAAATATTAAAGTTTTATAATTTATATATTGGTTTACACTTAATATATTTAAAGTTTCTAACATTAGTTTAATTAATATTTAGAACATTTTAACACAATGCGTAGTACTTTATTCTGTAATTTTTGCAATTTTTGCATTTCATTTTTATTTATGTTGAATAATATTGTGGAACAAAATTCAAAGTGCGGGGCTATAATAGCTTTATATAATAAGAATTTTATAAAAAGTGATAAGCTTCCACTAATTCTACCCATAAAATAAATTTTTTTTGAAATTTTATTTGACAAATAATGAACATGATCTTTAAAATCTAGTCTATCATCTATCATTATACCCAAATATTTTATAATGTTTACTCTTTCTAGTTTATTACTATTAATACATAAATTAAAATTAAAATGTTTAGTTTTATGACTAGGACCAATTAACATATATTTAGTTTTACCAACATTTACACACAACCATTTAAAAATTACATTAAGTTGGGTGTTCATGATATTAGTCATTTCATTAATATCATTCCCTATCACATATATCATGGTGTCATCGGCAAACATACATATTTCACAATTTTCAACATATTTAACCATATCATTAATATATAAAACAAATAGCAGAGGACCTAAAACAGTCCCCTGAGGAACTCCATGAACTGTGTCAATTGTATTGGAATAAACGTTATTTATATTAACGATCTGAGATCTATGAGTCAAATAGGATTTAAACCATTTTAAAACATTTCCAGAAAATCCCATTTTATTTAATTTACTTATTAATAAGTCTCTATTTATAGTTTCAAAAGCTCTTTTAAAGTCTAAAAATACAGTTAAAATAAGTTTACCTTTATCTAATTCTTTAATCCATTTATCACAGACATTAATCACAGCAGTTTCACAAGAGTGTTTTTTTTCGAAATCCTGACTGATTATCAGCAATAACATTATTTTTATCACAGTATTCACTTATTTGTTTTTTGACACAAAGTTCCAGGATTTTCTCATATGGAGCCACCACATTTATTGGTCGAAACTCTTCACATAAAAATGTCCCAGGCACTTTAGGCACAGGTGTTATGTACGATGTCTTCCACTCATTCGGAAAAACTCCAGTGTCCAGAGATGTATTCACAATATCGAGAAGTCTGTTTGCTACCACGTAACAGGAATCCTTTAAAACTTTAGTTGAAATACCATCGCCGATGTCACCTGTATTTTTAAGCGATCTTATGATTTTTTTCAGGATTTCCATTGAGACTGGTTTAAAATTATTGATTTGTTCAAATGTTGTAATTTTGTTCAATGAGTTTTCTTGGTTAGGACTCAAAGGAATGTCCTTAACAATTTTATTAATACTTTCAACAAAAAATGTATTAAATTTGTCAGCAATTATTCTCTTATTTTCCACCAAAATATTTTCAAATTTTACTTGTTTTATATTATTATTCTTAGATCCAGGCATCAATGTTTTTAAATTTTTCCATAACATTTTACTGTTTCTCTTTTTTTCATCCAAGATATTTGTATAATAAACCTCTTTTGCACTTCTGATCATTTGAGTTACTTGGTTTCTTAAAATTCTGTACTGTGCCCAATCCGTCTCATTATTTGTAAATACTGCCCTCTTGTATGTGATATCTCGTTCCTTCATTAAGTTTATAATGTCGGGTAGCATCCATTTATTATCCAAATATCTTGTTTGTATAGTTAAATTAAATAAAGGGCACATGTCATTAACTGCACTTGAAATGTTACTTGTAAACCAATTTGCCAAGGAGTTAACACAAGTATTAGCATTATTCCAATCAAAAGATAATAATTTATTATGTAGGGTGTTTATATTGTAGTTTTTCATCTTTCTTCTGGGTAATATTATAGATTTCTGGTCATTATCTTTAGATCCAATGTTTACACTAAGTATGCAGTGATCGCCAATTCTAGGAGTCAAGTGCACTTCATGGTTTAGATCTTTTATGTTTGTCACTATGTAATCAATAAGTGTTTGTCTGTAATGAGTTACCCTAGTAGGATTTGTGACTATTTGTTTTAATCCATATTCATAGAAAATTTGTTTAATTTTTTTAGAGTAGAAAGCATTTGTATTATTGTAGTCCATATTATAATCTCCTAATAAAATAATATTATTGTATTCCAGATTTTCTAAATTATCCTTGACAAATTCCATAAAAACATTATCATTTGTTTGAGGGGGATGATACAATACATTTATGTAATACTTTTCTTTTTCCAGATTTATCTCCAATCTTACAGACCATACAAAACTAAGTTCCACATTTGAAATGTTTTTAAATTTAAATGTTTTCTAATAAGTACACTAGCACTCCTCCTGTTCTACGATTTTTGGTATGGCATCTAATAATATTATATCCACTTATCTTGAGCTCGACATCTTCTATTTCCTTATCTACATGTGTTTCTACAAGGCACAATATTTTTGGTTTCCAGTCATTTACTAAGTTAACTATTAAATCTTTATTATTTAAGAAACCTTGACAATTAAAGTATACAATGTTATTTGGTTTGTTCGGTAATTGCTAAATATATTTTATCTTGCTCTTATTTATATCAAGTAATCTCATATAACATGGACATTCCTTGCTAAAAGTATTATGATTGCATTCAATATTAAGTTTTAATTTCTTTACTGTGTTTATGCAATTAATACATTTTTCTGTAGTTTCAGTGCAGTCATCACTTTTGTGGTTCCCTGCACATTTAGCACACGTTATTTCATTTTTGCAATCATCTGAGAAATGATTAAACTGCATACATTTGTAGCATCTAACTATATTTACAAAGTTATCAACTTTGCATGCTCTCCATCCCACACTTAGCTATTTTAATTCCATAATTCTAAAATAAATTTCTGAGTTTACTTCTAATATTAAATTACCACTATCATTTTTCTTTTTGTTTATATACTTCCTTTTAATATTAATTTTACTGTTAATTCTTTTATCAATATCTTTTAATTCATTCTGTTCTATTATAGTTTCCAAAATTTCATTGTTTTCTTTATTAATTACTTCTTTCTCAACTCCAATTACAATGATTTGAGGGTTTTTAAACTTAGTATCCTCCACCTCGTACTTATTCCCCAATTCTTCTTGAACTTTATTTTTTAGTTTTGCTTTTGATTCTGAACTCTTTACATTTATTATCACTCCCCCTTTTCCTATATTTTTAATACTTTCCACTCCTACAGCAATATTTTTTAAATTGATGGTTTCCTTTAAATCCTTTTTAGTTTCATTACTTTGTTGTTGTTCATCGGCCGTTGCTAGTCGTCCGTATAATCGGACGAATAAAAAATATTAATCGTCCGATTATCGGACTCAAACTCAACAACACAACCCAACCGACCCCGCCCCATTGCCCCCCCCCCCGCCCCATTGAACAAAAAACCCAACTAATATGGGCAAATTTATGTTACGATAAAAATAAAACACTTTTTAACAAAGCAACAACAAATTTATGAAATAAAAAAAGTTCGACAACTTCTAGTAGATTTTATGTTACGATAAAACTAAAACAAACCAACCAACCCAACCCAACCGAACACTGTTTAACAAAGAAACAACAAATTTATGAAATAAAAAAATAAAAAAAATTCGACAGCTTCTTGGTATCGAACCCGGGACCTTTCGCATGCCAAGCGAACGCCCTACCATATAAGCTATCTAGCTTGTTGTCAAATATTAAACGGTCGGTGAACAAAAGCGGATTATAATTATGACGTAACTAACGTGCCTTCTCGGAGGACTAGCTTCATTTTATTCGTCCGATGATCGGACTATTAGACAAGTCGTTGTTCATCTTTGGGTTTTATTATGATACTCTCTTTTTCTTTGACTTTTAATATTTCAGCATAAGTTGTATTATCTTTATTATTTATTATTTTAGTAATACTCTCTAACTGCTTTGATTGTTCCACGATTGTTTTTAGACACAATTCCAAATTTGATTTTAAACTTGTGAATTCACTTATTAGCTTGATTTTCTCACAGTACTTGCAACGATAAACTATGTTTGCACATTCATTGATCCATTTTGCTTGTTCTGCATTAATATTCGTACACTTCAAATGAAACTTGTTTTCACATATA